CGTTCACCGTAAAGAAGGTGACGTCGTCCTGTCGGATGAAGTGGGCGAACTGCCAAGGCGAGGTGACGGTGATAGTAGGAGATGGTGTGGGCACGGAAGGCTCCGGGGGAGGGAGATCCGGACAAGGTGTCGCGGCGGTACCTATGAAAGGTACGAGGTACGTCTGTCCACACTTCGTTTTGAGAACGAGAGTGTTGGTCGCCCAATCGTCCTCGGTACTCCGAAACCTACGAGACCACGGAGTACCGAGAATGCAGTCGTACCCCATCTCCATCACATCGAAATATGCAGAGGAGCAGTCGCGACGAGACGCAGGGGGACGATCAGTCGGCTCTGGAGTGAGGAAGAAAAGGAGGTTGATGACCGTCTGATCAAAGAAGCGTTGGGTCTTGTCATCTCCTAGGGTGACGGAGATGGGAGTCGGAGTCCCTCTCGTGGGAAAGCGTGCTTCCTTCAACACACGTGGGTGAATGAAGTCGCCCTGAGAACCTGAATCCCAGAGCGCTAAGTACATCCTCGTGGAGGTCCCAAGCCGTACTGGAATGATCAGGAGGGTGCGATCAGGATCAGAGAGGATGGCGAGAAGGCGACACATTGCGGCGACATGGAGGGTGACTCGCTCCTGACGAGCCTGGAGCATGCTCAAGCCAGAAGGGAGGACACAACGTCCTCGCGAGTCGCAAGCTGCTCACTGCAACGGGCTGAGCGAATGGCTTGACGCGTCGGTAGCCGCGGAGAGGTAGGAGGGGAGACGGTGGTTTGCGGAGGCCCAGGCGATACTGCGACAGAGGGGTGAGTCCACTCTGTCGAGTCCTGCGATACCTCAACTCCAGTAGCGAGAGAGGCAAAACGCGATGAAGATGTCGGGAAGCCGACCACTGAGGAGGGCGCAAGTGTACATTGCATCGTGGCTAGGAGGCACCGCGAGGATGCGAGGCGTCGAGGGAGGACTCAGCACGACGCTGGTGGGAAAGCTCATCGTAGTGGCGGTCAAGGACGGCCGTGTAAGGGCACAGCGAGGAGGTATGAACGTCCTGGCGGCAACACAAACACCCACGCCGACCCAAAATGGCCGCGTGCTCCTCAATGGAAAGGACACCGCGGGGAGGGACAAAGCTCTGAGGGGGGTCCTGTTGAGGGACCTCGGGGGGTCACGCACCAGCATGACCAGAGCGACTGCGTGCCCGAGAGAGGGTGGAGAGGGCAACTTGGAGGCGCTCGACTATAGGGAGGGTAGAGTCCTCCAAGTGGTAGTGGACAGCCTCGCAGAGGTCGGGTTCGTCGTTGTGGTCACCCTCAGGCGACAGCGGGCCAACAGCGTCCTGCTCACCATACTTGAGCGTTCTGAAGCGGCGCGAGAAGTGGCGGCCCTGTTGTACGGAACGACGGGGACGACCGTGGAAAGTGGAACGGTGCTGGAAAGTGTAGTGAGAGAAGGAGGGAGCGTAACCAGTACGCTGAGGCTGGGAGGAGGAAGTGGGTTGAAGATGGGCCCGCGTCCGTTGATGGGCCCTGGCGCCTCGTAAGCCTGCCGGGCCAATGTGAAGTCATACCGCCATACCTCGGAGCGGTACTCAAGGGGAAGGCTGACCAAGAAATGATCGATAAGGGCAGCCTCGGGTTGGAACGCCACATCGCAAATCAGGTGGGCATCCTGAAAGACCTGGATGTGGCGGTCCAGGCCGGCAGTGCCACCAAAGTCAGACCAACGTGAACTGACGACACGCTCGAAGGCGTCAGTCAAGTCGTGTCGGGCTCCGAAGCGATCCTTGAGGAACGCCTGGAAATCCATGAAGGTCAGGGTCCGACCCTCACGAAGGGAGTGAGTGTAGAAATCATCCCAGGCGTCGAAAGGACCGCCACGCAGGTGCGTGGAGAGGTAAGCCACCCACTTGTCGGGTGAGACGTCCATGAGCTGGAGTGTGAAGGTGGCACATTGCTGCTGCCGAGACACACGTATCTCTGTACCATCATACAAGGCAATGTGTATGAAGCGGACGAGTGGTGCGCCACTGTTTTGGCGGCGAGGAGATCGAGAAGCAGAGGCCTGCGATACGGCTGAGTAAGTCGGCGCAGGTCTTGTAGAAGGGGGCGCGACTGACTGTATGCCGAGGGTGCATGGTGGAGCGGCGGGGGGACTAGCGGCAGGCCGCGCAGGAGCTGTGGTAGAAGAGGTCGCAACAACCGTTGGAGTAGGAAGGAGGTAGGATGGGGGTGGAGGGGGTGCAGGGCGAGGGAAGCGAGCCTGCATGGATGGAAGAGTAGAGGAAGAAGGGGGTGCGCCTGAAGGCGCGGCCACCTGTGAGGGTAGGGGTGGTTGAAGGCGTAAGAGGGCGAGGTTGGCCCGGATCTGGGCCAGGTCGGCCTCTAGACGTCGGTCATTGATCGAGCGAGGAGTAGGAGGAGGAGGAGTGGGGCAAGTGGATGCACAAGCGACGCGGGGCATCCCATACGGGAGAGAGCCAGGTGGCGCGGCGGTCGTGCGAAGGGGAGAGAGAAGCAGGGCACCCGTAAAAGCTGACACCGTGGCAGAGGGTTGTGGTCCCGTGGCCGTAGTGACCGGAATCTGGGCGGGTGTGCCCGTAGAGTGAGGGAAGGCCTGGCCCGTGGCGGTCGTCGCGCTAGGAGTGTGGACAGTCACCAGGATGGTCGGGTCGGGGGCAGCGGAGCAGGAAACTCCACCATGGCCACCATGCCGGAGGACGGAGGACCCGGACCGGGAGCCAAAAGGAGAGAGGGAGTTAGGAAAGGGAGGAAGGGCGGCGTCCTGGAGTTGCCGCATGCCAGCGGCAAGAGTCACTACTTGCGGGTGTAAGGGCGCAAGGGTCGCTAGTTGCGCCTGGATGGGCGCGAGGAGGGAGTTGTGGAGAATATGCAGATCCGCCTAGGGCTGATGGCCCTGGGCCGCTGGCACGGTTGTGGAGCTTGGTGCCGAGGCCGTCGCCGCGTCGGCGGCTTGTCACACGTCGTCGACCATAGGGAGGTGATGGGCCGGGCTGGAGGTGGTCGGAGGAGGTCCGCGTGAGCGGAGGGCGTAGAGGGGGGTCAGCGGTAGAAAGCGACGGGCGGCGCTAGCGGGTCGGGCGGGGGGGCCGTCAAAGAGGGAGAGGTGGTTTGGGTCCAGGGTGCCCGAATGGGAAGGGAAAGTAGGGAGGAGGGGAGATGGGAGAGTAAGGGGGTTAGGAAAACCATAAACCGTAGAAAACCCCTAAGAAAACCCTAACCGGATTTTTTGTGGTTAGGGTAGGGTATCGGTGACCTAATCAAGAAAAGAAAATAGCAACCATGGAGGGGAGGGGGAGAGAAAAATAAATGAACAGTGAAATTTTAAGAGAAATAATAATAATAATAATAATAATAATAATAATTAAAGGAATAAATAAACAAAATGTGAAGAGAGAAATAATATAATTTTTTTTGGAATTTTCGGCAGCATTTCCGTACCCCCAATGGGGTCAAGAATGTGCCAAGAGGAAGGAGAGACCAAGATAAGCACACTAAGTTTCAAAACGCTGAAAATCATAAATTTAAATAAATAAATAAATAATAAATAAATAAATGAGGAGGTGGAGAGTGAAGAGAGACTAAGTGTTGAATTTTTTAAAAATTTCGGCAACATTTCGTTACCTCCATGGGGTCGAAGTATACCGGCAAGGATATGACTAAGTAAGATGTAAAGAGTGGGGAGAAAATAGAAAATTTCGACAGCACTTCGTTACCCCCACGGGGTCAAAATGTGCGCCGAGAGAGGAAATAACTAAGTCCTACCAGATCTAGAGATGCCGCAGAGAAAATTTGAAATTTCAGACTAAATAAAAATAAAATAAAATAAAAATCAGAAAATAAGAAAGGAAGTAGAGAGAAGAAGAAAATTCGAATTTTTAAAGAAATAGGAAATTTAAATCAAAAGAAAGACAAAAAGAAGAAAAACAGAAAAATTCGAAGTTGGGGGGGTAAGGGGATGAAGAAGTGAAGAAGGAAGAGAAAAAAAGGTGAGGAAGAGAAAAAGATGGAAGTGGAAGGTGGGGGAATGATGGGGTTGTAGTTAGGGGAGAGGATGGTGAGAGAATGGGAGAGAAAGGGATGGGAAAGGTGGAGAGGAGTAAAAGAGATTAGTAGAAGATGATGAGTGGGGAGGGGGGGAGAGAAAGGATGGTGGAAGATGAGTGAAGAGGGAGGTAGGAGGAGAGAGGAGTGGTAGAGTTAGAAAAAGTGATTAGATGGTGGAGGGGGG